CAAGGACTGCTTTCTTGCATGTGTGAAATATAACTGTTAAATTAAAACAAAAAAAAACCTCAGAGTGATACTACAAATTGACTTGATTTGCACTGGTTGCATTTCTTAACATTTAAGCTGGACTATTGTAATTCATTATTATCAAGTTGTCCTTTCAGCTGATCCAAAATGCTGCAGCAAGAGTCCTGACAGGGACTAGAAAGAGAGCAGAATTCTCCTGTATTGCTTCCCTTCATTGGCTCCCTGTTAAATCCAGAATTCAAAATCCTGCTCCTGTCATGGTCCTGAGTCTGACGACTCTTTATGCTTTTGTTTATCCTGAGTATGTATTCTGTTATGATTTGCCATTTCTTAGGTTTCTGTTCTGTGCCTGCCCTGGTCCCACTTCTGTCTATGGTGTCACACTGTCTGTGTGTGAATCTGTCTGTTCAGTTCAGTGTCTTGTCTGGTTCTCTGTGTCCGAGTTTCCTGTTTTATTCTGAAGGTCTCTGTCTCATGTGAGTGTGTCCAGTTTCCGTTTCCTCTGTCCCGTCAGCTCTGATTCCTCCCAGCTGTGTTGCCCTCCTGTCTCTCATCCCCTGATTACTGCTGTGTGTATTTAGGCCCTGTGTGTTCTCCTGCTGGTTGTTGGTTCTGCGTCTCTCTGCCTCACACACTGTTTCGTATGTTCTCAGGTTTGTTATTTAGTTTTCCCGGTTTAGGTTTCTTTAGTCATTTGTCATTCCTCACTCCTCACTGCCTGTTCCATCACCCTATTACTTGCAAATAAACGTCACTTGCATCAGTCAACTGCCTGCGTTTTGGGTCCTTTTCCCTCCAACACCACACGGCTTGCCTCGACAGCGTGACAGCTCCTCACATACATCTCATCTTATCTTAATGACCTTGTAGTACCATATCACCCTATTAGAGCACTTCGCTCTCGCTCTGCAGGCCTACTTGTTGTTCCTAGAGTATTTAAAAGTAGAATGGGAGGCAGAGCCTTCAGTTTTCAGGCCCCTCTTCTGTGGAACCAGCTTCCAGTTTGGTTTCAGCAGACAGACACTGTATTGTAGGTCTACCTTACAATATAAAGCGCTTTGAGGCGACTGTTGTTGTGATAAGATAAGATAAGATAAGATAAGATAAGATAAGATAAGATTTGGCACTATATGGAAAAAAACTGAATCGAAGTATACAGAACACATGTAGACAGGTTGGTCATAGGTTGGTCCCATCCACTCTCACACACTCTCAAGAGGATAAGGACCTGGTCCAGTGTTCCACAACCAGGACAAAAAAGATCTTGCTCTGACCGGACCTAACATTGGAGACTTAGGTCCAAAATTCAGTGTTCTGCTGACCCGTCCATCCACCTTAAACTTCTTGCAATACGTTCCTCATACACTCAACAAAAATATAAACGCAACACCTTTGTTACTGCTCCCATTCCCCATGGGATGGACGTAGAGACCTAAAATTCATTCCAGATACACAATATAACCATCCCTCCCAAACAGTGGTCACAAATCAGTCCAAATGTGTGGTAGTGGGCACATCTGCTATATTGAGATAATCCATCCCACCTCACAGGTGTGCCACATCAGGATGCTGATCTGACATCATGAGTAGTGCACAGGTGTACCTCAGACTGCCCACAACAAAAGGCCACCCTGGAATGTGCAGTTTTTTGCGCTATTGGGGGTCTGGGGACCCAGAACCGGTCAGTATCTGGTGTGACCACCATTTGCCTCATGCAGTGCAACACATCGTCGCATGGAGTCTATCAGATTGTCAATTGTGGCCTGTGGAATGTTGGTCCACTCCACTTCAATGGCTGTGCGAGGTTGTTGGATATTCGTGGGAACTGGTACACGCTGTCGTATACGCCGGTCAAGCACATCCCGAACATGCTCAATGGGTGACATGTCCGGTGAGTATGCTGGCCATGCAAGAACTGGGACATTCTCAGCTGCCATCTGCCCTGAACAATGTGAACCATGATTCATCCGTGAAGCGCACACCTCTCCAACGTGCCAGACGCCATCGAATGTGAGCATTTGCCCACACAAGTCTGTTACGGCGACGAGCTGGAGTCAGGTCAAGACCCCGATGAGGACGACGGGCATGCAGTTGAGCGTCCCTGAGACGGTTTCTGACAGTTTGTGCAGAAATTGTTTGGTTGTGCAAACCAATTGTTCCAGCAGCTGTCTGGGTGGCTGGTCTCAGACGATCTTGGAGGTGAACCTGCTGGATGTGGAGGTCCTGGGCTGGTGTGGTTACACGAGGTCTGCGGTTGTGAGGCCGGTTGGATGTGCTGCCATATTCTCTGAAACGCCTGTGGAGACGGCTTATGGTTGAGAAATGAACATTCAATGCACGGGCGACAGATCTGGTTGACATTCCTGCTGTCAGCATGCCAATTGCACGCTCCCTCATTGCTTGTGGCATCTGTGGCATTTTGCTGTGAGACAAAACTGCACATTCCAGGGTGGCCTTTTGTTGTGGGCAGTCTGAGGTACACCTGTGCACTACTCATGATGTCAGATCAGCATCCTGATGTGGCACACCTGTGAGGTGGGATGGATTATCTCAATATAGCAGATGTGCCCACTACCACACATTTGGACTGATTTGTGACCACTGTTTGGGAGGGATGGTTATATTGTGTATCTGGAATGAATTTTAGGTCTCTACGTCCATCCCATGGGGAATGGGAGCAGTAACAAAGGTGTTGCGTTTATATTTTTGTTGAGTGTATTTAAAGACCAGAGATATAGCTTAACAGTCTGTGTGTCACACCCATGTCGCTCTCAGCCTCTTTTCCAAAGCGAAGGCTTCGCAGATGGTCAGTAACATAGCACAGGAAACCTCTTTTACACTGTTTGGTTCTGAAACTTGATTTTGGTGTGTTTCAGTATATGATTCATGTGGACAACCAAAACATTTAGTGACGTTTTTGTTTTATACTTAAACCTAATGACTGTGACGATTCATTTTTTCGTATTTGCTTCATCACCTCACTTAAGTCGAGTGTGGCTAACATACACAAACATTTGAAAAAATCATTTTCTGTCTGTACGTAGATAGCTGTAGCTAGGTGTTATCATTATCTGTGCTCACATGTTGGTCCAGTTATTTTGGGCCAATAAACACCTGTGAAAAATTCATTAGTAGCACCAGTATTATTTACGGCTTGAGTTAAACATCTGACAGAAGCTTACATCTCTTGATTTCAGCTATATCAAGCTTCATGCCACAACTAGGTCTGCGCCAGTGGAAATGCTTTTTGACCCACTTAAGTTCAATAATTTAATTTAATTGTTTGACAGCACTAATATTATTATATATGTATACTTACCTATTAGTATATGGGTTGTTAAAAAGTTGTATTTCACAGGAGAGAACCTGTGCTGACAGACTGAAGAAGACTATTCAAACTCTCTTTGGATTTAAGCATTTAACATTCTTTGAGTTATGTTGTTTAGATGTCAGTTACAGGCTTAAATATAAAGTTGAAAAAAAGTAATTGCAACCAAGCTATTGATCAAGTAATTGTGATTAATCGAGATTTTTTTTATCTATTGACAGCACTACTAATAATATGTTTTGGGGTTAGGGTTAGACCCCAGCCTGATTGTTCGGTAGAATTTCTAATAAAAAAAATCCAATTTTCATCCTGCAGACATTAAACATGTTATTTATATTAAAAAGGGAAATCACGTGATCACTAGTGACTACTGATGATTATACACACACCACATGGGTGAAGTAATCGTCTGACCTCCCTGAAGTGCACCGTGAACAAGTGTCTGTGCTCCCTAAACCCATTTTAAACATTATCCTTTGTGTTGGGGGTGAATTGATTTATACTGTGTATGTTTGCATTTTTGGTCATGGAGAAAATGTTATTGGGAGTATTGGGAGTTATTGGGAGCACTCCAGGTCATTTTCCCATTTGAGTGTTGGTAGCGCGATAGATACATCAGTGTTGGAAATTACTTTGCATAGTTTGGAGGTTATTCTTCTGGGGTGAGTGATTTTCATTATTTCTTCAGCTAATCTGGAGGGAAGCAGTGGATTAATTGTTTTCTTGGATTGGATTTAATCTTTCCGTCAGCTTCCACCTTGGGAGGGCTGTCTCCTTGAGCTGGCCTTTTCTTTTGCAGCAGTCAGTGAAAACAAAGTGTTTTCGCCTTTCGTGCGATTGTGTCGTTTTACATGTTGGTTGCCTTTCAGTCATTTTGATTTTGGGGAACATTTTCTTCAATCCCATCATCATCATCATCCATGAAGTTCTACGGTGTAATAGCATTTCTGTTAGGACTACAACCTATTCTCCTGGCAATTCTCGCTCCAGCTTCAAGCTCAGTGCTGTGCAATTGCAAGAGCTTGATTTACACTTTTCACATATACAAGTCTGTACCATCTGTAAGCTCTGGTGAGCGCAAACAGCATGTAAATCTCTCGCTCAGCTGGGAGCGCTGTCTCTGTTGTCCTCTGTTTATGCTAGATGAAATCGCTCCCTGGGCCACTCTTGCTTCCCCAGGCTTCAAATGCATCTTTTAACTTGTGCACAAGGATTCAAGAATCTCTGAGGTAAAGCCAAATTCAGTTGTCTCTCAATGTCAGCTGAAAATAACAGGATGTCAAAAAAATAAATGAATCTGAAATCCTCTGATTGTCGGCACATGTCTGCACCTCTCATTCTCCCCTTTGGCTGAATGGGGGGATAAAAGCTTAAGTGACCTTCTTCTGATAGGTTAAAAAACTATAGTAATAGCCTTAAATGCTTTGCAATCTTCTTGGATTGACACAGAGATGGTGATCCACTGCTTCCACAGCTTCCTTAAGTAAGCCAAGAAGCGCTCGCAGCATAAATACTAACATTCAAGTTCATCTTCCATCAACTGCATCTCAACACTGCATGCAGAAGGTGAGGAGATATTTCTCACCTTAGGCAGTAGACCATATGTTCTGTGCAACCAACCTATATGGAGGCGGAGGAAGGGGGGGGGGGGTCATCTCAAGTCATTTTATTCACCAAAAAACCCCAAAACAAAAACGGCATGTATATGCAACCATTTGCTCATAGTTCACTCTTGGGGAAATCTGCTCCAAAGCTGCTCCATCAAACATTGATCTCTAGTTGCGCTGCAATAGCTTATCAGCATTAGGGTGTTTAGGTTTTCATTTCCAAATGATATTCATCTGTGTAAGTTGTAGTAGAAGTGTACTTTCAGATTTCAGCTAAGGGGCTCAGTGACTTATTGGCTGGGCCTGGATGGCGAGGCTCATCCATACCCCAACACTGCTTTAGCAAGGTGGTGCATTCAGCGTGGCTTGCACATATCTGCATGAGTATGGAAGTCTATTCAGTCCACCATATTGAGTCTTTTATTTTTAATCTGTTTTTATTCCATAGTTAATTAATCCTCCTTCCTAGCCTTTTGACAACCACTACGCTTGGTGCCATCAGACACCAGCAAAGAGAAAAGCAAGCTAGTGACTCATACTCACGCTCCCTGTCTGAAGCTTCCCCAGCCTCCTCTCATAGCATCAGTTTCTCTTATTACGCCTTTTGCATTGTATAGCTATCAGTCATGTATTGATTGTTATCCTGTGTAAGGACAGCAGAACTATTTCCATGATTATTCTGAGCAGATTATTAAGAAACCGTGATGTGGCTAAAAGGGGGATTTTATGTCTTTAAGAGATTATTTGGGGATATTACAATAAAATGATGTTAGAAAACTTATCCTACAATGCTACTATATATGGTTGGGATTAGGGGAAAGTGATGGCGATGACTCAGCATTAGACAGTGTGACTGACGTAACACAGGAATGTAAAAATCCACCAGTGTGACTTCTCACTTACTGACTTAGGAACAGACTGTATTAACAATGAACAGCATATTAAGCGCTGCATGCATTAGCAATAACATTTGGTACAGATGTAAAATAACAACAGAACCTCGTCCAGTACAAACTCAGTTTGAAGCATTGCAGTGTTTTACGGGTAGAAAACCAAAACGATGCATTCCTGCCAACAGCTTAGACCAAAGCAGCAGCTACCATTCAAACCAAGTCAAAGGTTCTGAGTATATCAACAACAAAATAATAAAAAAACAGCAGTTTTCAGCACGTGACGTGTATGTTTGATCTTAACTCTCGAGCTGTAGATAAAAATGTACATGACAGCGGCCACATGTTTCCTGTAAAGTGTGGTGGAGCAGAATCGTTACATAAGAGCTGATAACGGGGTTACAGTGAGGACAGTTTACAACACTGCTGATAACTTTGGTGATCGGTCATCTATCCCTGCTGCTCTGGCCTTTTCATCTCAGCCTATCAGCACAAGAGACACTGAGAGTAAACCCGAGAAACACAAACACAAGTATTTTTACATTCCTGTCAAAATGATTCAAAGAAAAAACAAAAAAAACATCAACAAAGAATTAAATACAATCAAATTTCAATTCCCTGAAATGAAACAAGACATCAAACAGTATAATAATCATCTAGACACGTGAGACAAGCACAGAGACAGTAGCTGGAAACAACAGTTAGCAGTTCTTTAGAGCCTCGGGTTTATGCTGTGTTCACACTGTGAGCAACAAGAGAAGCACTTTGTGATTCAAACAGGAGACGCAGGTGAAAGAGCTGGATTCTGTCTCTAATTCGCCACCTGGCAGGTTTAGCAGAACGCTTGACCATCAGCCTCTCTGGTATTTCGTCACACGTTCAGTTGGTAAAGTGACAAATGCTCTAACATCACCTGTAGACTCAGTAAGCAACCTGCCCTCAGTGTGAACACGCAGACCTCCACCACGTTGACTCTATTATTACATTTACACCTGAAGTCCTGCCAACTACAGTTTCAAGGACACATGTGTCAGCCACATGTGTCCCAGTAAGGCATGGTTTATACTGAGAGCAGTGCACAAACATAATACCTCCTGCAGACATTTTACAAAGATCCTTGTCATTATTAAAAGCGAATCCCCGTGTTTCCCACCCCCGGACCCACACCCACCTATCCATAAAGGAGAGCATTCGTTTCAAGCCACCCATAAGAAAAAGTTCCGACTGGCCGAGATCACAGGCCTGACACCACCGCAGAAATGAGCAGAGCCAAGCCTGAGAGGAGGTGGGCATGGGGACAGGGCAGTGTGGAGGAGGCATCCTTCTGCACCATCATACCAGTCCCTACAACACAGAGAGCACATGGACAGCTCAGCGTACATGTGGCTATAGCTCTGACTTGAAACAGCATTACTATCACAGCTATGGAAGCCTAGACGACAACAAGAAACGTGCACAAATAAAAACATCTCCTGGCTTGACCTTCATTTATAACCAGCATGCACTAAACGGCTAACATTTAAAGCCATAAATGTTTATGATCAACATTATAAATATCCTTATCAAACCATATCTCGGAGATAACATGGCCTTGGATAAATGCAGGTTCCAGGGGTCGTTTTTCTTCTGCATAACTATTTATCGATAAGAGCGTACGTGCATGGAATCAAAGTGCTGCAAACAGGTAAAAAGGTGAATAGAGTTTGTATAATGGCTTTTCACTGGTCCCTGAGAGTGCACAGTAAACATGTTTCTATACACAGTCCCCAAAGTTAACAGGCTTCAAATGAGCTGGACAGCTGACCAATAACCACATTCAGGTGAGGCCTGCTCATTTTTTCACTGTCATCGTGAATATAAGCGAAGGACCCAATCACGAGGCTGGAAAAGCTATGAAAACTTTCCAAATCGACCTCAACCTTAAAAAAAGCAGAGCAGCGTGAAAAGGCCTGCAAGACCACAGAGGACTGAAGTGACAGCTAAAACAAGTCTTTGAGGAGGGGAGTGTATCACTGAGAGGCTCTGGAATCACTGCCTTCACCAATGGAAATACAGGGGCACAAAATCCATGTGGCTGGTTTCCCTCAAGAAGACTAGAGCAGACTCTGTCATAGCTAACAGAGTCTGTACAGTTTAGAAACCTTTAGACTGCGTGGAGACGATGCTGCAGCAGAGGCCTGTGTTGGAAACCACGAAGCAAATCTGGCCTAATGTAACACAGCCAGGGAGCAAAAAGTGTTTTCCTTTCATTATTTGCACTATTTTTTAACTAATGAACTATTAAACCGGAGAAATATATGGTTTGTGCTTCCTGATTTGTCACCTGAATCCCGGGACACGATAATCTCGTGTGCTGGCCCGTCCCCGCCCTCGCCCCATGACCAAATCTCCAACACAATGTAAGCCTTGTCTTTGGGCAGCGGCAGGCTCACTGACGTCTTCGTCTTGTCCAGAAACTTCAAAGCTGCCTGGTCCTCGTGCTTGTACAGAACCTGGAGACAGAACAAAGTCTTTTTACAGTGTTTATCTGTTGATTTGATAAAGTTATCTTTGGGTGATTATAACATGACACAAGCTTATAAACAAGATCTTTGACTTTGTTTTACAGCCAGTTTATTGGTTCACATAATTCCACGATGAGGTGAGCTGTTTCACGATGAACCTTACCGAGCATGAGCGCTGCAGCAGAAAGAAAGCAGTTAATCCAACACACCTGTATGTGCTCAGAATACAGACATGACAATCCTCGAGTCCCTGAATGCTGGAGGAAAAAGAAGGATTTTCCCCAGGATAACATTTTTATATTCCCAAAGCCAAATCACAGCACTGCTAACTGTCCAGCTGTGAGCTCTGATCGCAGGCTTGCTCTTTTCTTATGATCGACTGTTACAAACTTTCTTTTAAGTCACAAGTACTGTAAACCATGCTACATGCAAGTGGCTTTAAGTTCCGACCGTAAATACAGATTCAAATGTATAAAGCATATCAACCACCTCCTGCCCACAGAGTGACAGAACACGTTGGACCATTACAAATGAACAAAAGCTGCAGTTTAAAATAAGCACAGATCAAATGTTCTTGGGCCACGTTGGAGACATGCTCAGACTAATGGGCTTTCCTGCACTTGGTCAAGCAGCCAGTGCAGACCATCCTGCTGACTGGTATCCCAATCCCACTACAAGTCTTTTATTATTGTTAATAAGCATGCAGGTGGGTGACAGGTATCAACGTGTACTCCATATGAATATTAGGAGAAGATAACAACGTTCTCAGGGTCACAACCATTTAAGATTTTCCAGGGGAAACTCCAAAATGTGAGAAGCTGATGATGCTTCAGCATGCATGCACAGAGAGTGCTCAGGACTGAATAAGACCAAATAAACTGATCAGGAAGGCTGGCTCTGTGATTGGCTGCACGCTGCAAACACCTGCAGATGTGACGCTGCTGGTACAGGGTGGTGAAAGTGTATCACAGCTAATCTTGACCACCATCTGCATCACCGGACAGGCAGCAGCTTACTTCTGTAACAGCCTGGCCCAGCTCTTATGCATTAAGACTATGCAACGCGCTTGCCTAGCAAACACTCGGATTATTTCTCCACATGTGGGATCAATAACATAAATCGTATTTAGATCCAGGACTCACTTTGTAGCCCAGTATGGCTGACTCGTTGTGCATGGCTGTCACTTGGTCCCATCTCACCGTGACCCGCGAGCCGTGAGCCTTCCACGACACGCTGCCCGGAGGACGATTGGGAGCTGAGAAGGAAAAAGCACATTTCAAAAGAATCGAGCTCATCCCTTTCAGTAGAAATGATGCATCCTGAGTAACAGCAGCCATTTTCATGTGTATCACTGTGAGGGTATTGACCCTGTATAACAAAGTCACACCAGACAGAGTGGTGATTAGAAGAGCACAGACTGCTGGACGCAGCTTTACAGCTGCTCCATGAATGCAGCTTCCAAAGGGAACATTTGCATCTGAAGTGATTAAAGCTTCAGATCTGCTTTAACTTTAGTAAGCAGAGTAAACTCTCCTATAAAAGCACGTGGTTGACTCAGTCAGCAGAAGCAAAGCAGGATGGTTTCCTGTCGGGCATCACTGTGCTGGGGCCTGCTCGCCTCCAGGACAGAAACATTGAATTAATCTGATTTTAATGAGCTGTCATTCAAAATAAGTCCTGAGTCACTTACATGTAATGAATATTGAAGATATAAAATATGACATTTATGATTAAATTACAAGAAATAAATGTGTTCATGACATTCTCATTATCTGAGATGTATTATCGTGAAGAGCAAACACCAACGAGCAGCCAGCTGGATGTTACACCTGCATAATTTAAACGCAGTCGTATATGGTCTGAAAGGTTCGTGTGTCCTTTGCACGGGTGTGAGAGCAGACGTCTCTGTGAGTGAGTTGTCTTTGCTTTATGTTACGTGCTCTGCTGTCATCTTTCTAACAGAGAGCGCTGCACCCGTACGTGGTTTCCTGGTGGTGACGGCGGTGCGTGGCGAGGGCGGTCCTGTGCCGGCACTGTTGTATGCCAGAACAGCGACGTGGTATCGAGTGCTGGGTCGAAGTCCGGACACCCTGGCTGTCGGCTCCAGGCCCGCCGTCCTCACGCGGTCCGCTGCTGCTTCTCTTTCGTGCTGCCGCCAGTACCGGATCTGTTAACGCACAAAGACACATCACTACAGACCTTTCACTCGTCTTTCTTCAGCTTATACATTTATACTCTTTTTAAAGCGTCCTTGGGTTTCTTCAAAGGTATTATTATTATTATTAATGTTGTCTTATAAACTCCATGTGAACAGTACTCAGAGCCTTCACTTTCAGACACACATGCTGTCCACAGCACATGACAAAGTTTGAAATAACACAAGGTTTTACATGATACAAAGCCATCAGACTGCTGTCATTTTCTATTATTTCCTCCACATATATGTTCCTGCTGTTTTTAAGCTCGTAGTTTGATATAAATTGATGATACATGGCTGCACCCTGTGGATGAGCATTCACTCTTTAATGAGCACACATACTGTGAGTATGCATGCATTGTGCTACTGCTCCAGCTATCTGTGTGCTATCAATATGTCAGGTTATTTAGCTTCCTTTCCTTTGACATTTTCCTGGTCTGTTATATTCTGAACATTATTTACTGAAACGTTTTCCTTACTGTGGTCATTTAGGCCGTGCGTGTCCCATACACACAGTTATCACCTAAGAGACCAGCTTTTTGTGACTGCACGATATGTTTTCTCAGTTGTCCACATATTTGTGATAGTTACAGGCTATGCTGCTTTACAGGGATGAAGTCACTGAGTTCGTCACCTCGTATCCTCTCAGGATGCCATTGGTGCTGAGCTGCTGCACAGGCTCCCAGGAAACCTGGATCTCAAAGGCGGACAGTGCCGTGGCATTGATGCTGGAAGGTCCCACGGTTGGCTCTGTGAGGAGTCAGCCAGAGTGTAAAAGGTTAGCAATGTGCAGTATGTGCACTGTCTCACATAATTATATACTCTTACAGTGTTGTCCACTTTTCTGCTGCAGCTTTGCTGACCATGTTCTTACTGTGCTTGATTAACCAGCCCATATGTATCAGGCTTTTCATTACATGGACTACTACCATCAGTCAAGTTGTAAGTGAGCTGACTGTGACCCTTTCTAAAACTATGGCTGCCCTCTAGTGGTTACAGAAAAGACTGCAGGTGGAGTTACATTAGAAATCTTCTTGTGATCTTCAGAAACACTGGAAACTGATCCCTGCCCCGTGCTCTCACAGCCTTCCATCGTGCATGGATCTGAAATGTTGTTTGTCTCATGTCTCTAAGTATAAGAATGGTGTATGGACCTGCAAGTGAAGTAGGAGCTGACTGTACACACCACTGTGTCTTGTCTTAATTAAGTACACAGATGTGTAAACTTGCTAACGACATATAGAACCAATTGAGCTTATATAGATTATGTATTGTAGACGTGCAGGTTGGGAGCTTCAGCTAATGTCCTCATTAAACATTCAGGTGAGACTTCCAGTATCTAGAGTTTATTCAGAAACACTGAGTGTCAGCTCTGCAAACAGAGGCAGGACCGCGGCTGGAACAAGACTGCAGTAATAATGAGAAAGTCTTTGCAGCTGAGTTAAAGAGGCATGGGTGCACTCCCACAGTTTGAGACCTCTTTAGGCTAGACTTCAGTCAGCCATGAACAGCTACAGAAGCTGTTCATGGCGGTGGTTTCAGTTCCAGCTCTGTACACTCGAGTTAGCGCGTCTGCGTTTCTGTATTCCTGCTCCACAAACTCAGACATGAGGAGGAGAATGGATGGATGCTTTCTTGATACCAGGTTCTTTCTGTTTCTTGTCCTCTGCGTCTCCTGTGCAAATCAGTCTTGTCTCTGTGTTCTTTTACCTGTCTGAGTATTCACCTGGTGTATTTCACCTCCCTAACTACCTCGTGTGTGTTTTAAGTCCAACATGCTAAGATGCTGCTGCTGGTAAACTGGACGTTCACTTCAGAGTGCTCTGGTAGAGTAGAAACCAGTACATTCAGCTTTGAATACCAACCTGCTGTTGACTGAATGTCACACAGTATCTGAGCAGTGTTCAAACCTCATATCTACAGCTGGGATGTGGTGGGATGGTGGACTGGTTCCATGATAGAAGCAGATTACACTGGAAACAGGAACCGTGGCACGCTTCTCATGTGGTCCCACAAACGTGTTTAGTAAGAAACAGTTTCTTGGTTCATTCATGTCATTTAAACAGAACGCTGTGCAGGTGAGCTCAGAGTCACTGAGTCAGTTCAACGTTTACAGTGAACCAGTCGACATCTTCGTGTGCACAAGCACATCCACCACAAACTACTTCTGTACAAAGCAGTGATGCGATCAGAGCAGTTCGGACGGACACTGGGACATCTGCCACAATGATCACACCGTGGTGGAAGTAGCTGAACGTCAGCGGTACTCACCTTCCTCTGCAGAGTGCACCACAGCCACCTGGCTAAACGGGCCTTCTCCTTTGCGGTTATAAGCTTTGATCTTCACTTCAAAGGGAGTGTACGCTGCCAGACTGCTGTTGTAGTAAACATGTCGAGAGGACTCTACACGTGGAACTCGCACCTCTGTCCATGATGATGTGTCCTTCTTTCTGAACCCCAAGATGTACCCGAAGCCGTCACCGTTCTGGTATTCTCTGGCCATGGGCTGGAGACAAAATCAGACATCCTCACACACCAAGTCTGAACCCAGCTGTCCCAGTAACACCATCATGATCACAGTGATACCACAGTATCTCCAGTACTGATCATGGTTAACTGCTCGTGTTTCTGTCTTTCTGTCTAATTGAATCTCTGTAAGTGTCTTATACTGTTTCCTGCTTGTAATCGGAATACCACCGTTTTGGGTCTGGCCCAAGAGTGGACGATTAACACCTCGGTCTCATTAACACTGCCTCTAAAATCACAGTATCTGTTTGTACTGGAACACCCGACAATAACCTGGCCCATAACACTAGAATGAAACAGTAACAACTAACCTGATACTAGATTACATTTTATGAATGAAACGAAAAGAAAATGACTATTTGTTAACGAATGAATGAAAAACTTTGAAAACATATGAACCTAAATTCAGCTCTGTTTGGAAAATAGAGAAAACCCATTTGGCCTTTCCACTCACCGTCCATGTAACGATGAGCTCATCACGGTCTCCTCCACCACCTCCCAGTCCACTCGGGGCCACAGTGGGAGCTGAGGGCCAACAGGACAAAGACACAAGATGAACCACGAGTGTGGATCAATGTACCAAAGTGCCTTTGAAAACTGGAAAGTACTGCTTTCAAGAGACAGTGACACACCAAATCTTTTTTAGTATTTATATACTCTCAGAAAAAATAGAGTACAGCATCAAATCAATGAAACTTCCTGCTCAGGAGAGTGGGTTGTTAATCACTTTCATATGCGTCAGTGTTAATGAAATGAATGGTGCTGTACACGGGCATATATACTGCCTGTGACACTGTTTAACGTGAGCGGTTTGATGGTCCGGGGAGGAGGATGCACAGACCTCTACAGTGCAACGGCTCAATCCTTGGACCTGCTGTCAGACCCTACGCTGGCTCCTCCTGGTGCATGAGGATGTGAGAGCTTGCAGGCACTTCCTGGATGATGAAGGAATTGATCCAATGAACTTGCCTCCAAGCTCACCACACCTCAATCCAACACAACATCTTTAGCACATGTTTCTGTACCTAAGAGTTTCCAGCCTGAGCTCAGCGATGGTCCAGACCTGGGAGCAGATGATCAGGACACCATCAGGCATTTGGAATATGTCCGGATTAGCATACACACAGCACATGGAAGCCATATAAACTACTATCATTTTGAGTTAGATGGCATTTTGGCTTTCCACGTCATTTTTTCAATTCCAGGTTGTCTTTGAATTTAGCTCTCTGTCTTGGGTTGGGGGGGGCGGGTGTCTCTGGCTCCGCTGCAGTGGAGGGGTGGTGCCAGGGCAGCTGCTGCCACTCAGTAATCAGATTCTCCCTTTTTTCAGTGACGTTGGGGCTGGAGTGGACCGCAGAGTGTGGAGTGGAGACTGAAACGCTGACTGCCCCGACGTCAGAGTGACGGAAAGGAAAAGTACGTGGGGTGCGTTCATTTCACACAAATGATGTAACACCAGATCTCAGTCCGACAGAGGTCCTCTGGGATGTGACAGGAGCTGACAAATCAACTGCAAGATGCTACGATATCAGTACGGGCCAGAGGAACCATGGTGAACCTGTGCCAGAAAGAACTAAGGCAGCTCCGAACCAGCTGGTTCTGATGTAAACATCTGGTTCATGAACAGCTGTCCAAACTACCTCAAATGTGCAACTTACCTGCTTGCAGTGTCCGAACGATGTGGGAAGGCATGCTAGGCTCTCCACTGCCCAAGATGTTGCTGGCGATAACCTGGAATTCATAATCCGTCCAGGGAATCAATCCTGTCACACGAGCTGACTCTGCGTTTCCTTCAATGTTCACTGGATCTGGTGCACAGTGACACGTTTATTTCAATCAAAAACACTGATAGGAAAGTTTTACTGACCAACACTGTGCTAATGTATGAACACAGACACACCCAGTTCACTTTAATAACAACCCGACC